GGGGTTATGAATGACGAGTTATGAATGAATGAAACGCCTTTGTCGCTTGAGAAACGGTGTCTCTTCCGCGGCTCGGTACGCTTTCAACTCTGTTTTTTTTTTGTTTCGAGTAAGACACTGTATGACGTTACATGATTTGACTGATTTTTACGTAGACAGGGCGACAGCGCACCGCATTAAAAGAAATGACATAAGCGGTTTTCATAACCGCTGGCCAAATTCAAAAACGAAACTAAAATTAAATCATCTTTGAGAGCATGGGGGCCCCCTGGTGTTTCGGGGACCCTACGCAGCTTGCGTACTTTGCGTATAAGGAAGATCGGCTCTGGATAACACTGCATTTCAGAGACAAAGACTTGCTCCCTAAAATATTCACTAGGACGAACTAAAAACTGAAAAATGCTGCTTGCAGCACCTCTATTCTCGTAGATAAAGTAAATGCATTTCTTCAGAACTTGCACAAAGGTTTCCGAGGCCATCCCGGCACCAGACAGGTGTTACAGCAATAATACCACTCGGTTAATGTGGTAATCGCATATGGGTGAGAAAAACTTCTCAGTTTTCTCAACACATTAATGAAATTGAGCAGCAAGAATTAAGACTGGGGCATGGCCCTGTGTAAGCAACTTTTCTGGACAATTTTCCATTGTTTTAGCCCTACAGGCTTAAGTGGTAGCTATTTCTGCTAAATACAGTACAAACTGACATATATGGTAGGCAATATTTTCTTTTATACGTTTTAAAATTTGTATATATACAGGAAGCATATATTCATTTTTCCCCACTCCAACCACTTACACAGAATATATCACAAGCAATCATTACTGGCTCATCTTTTTATAGAATGTTGTTCGTGTAAATGTGTGTCTACTAAATTACATGTTACTGGCACACTTGCAAGTATAGATCTAAAGACATTAGTCAGTTATATATATAGATGACAAGGCTATCCTGGTAGGTCAAACGTAAAAGGTGTGTTGACATTTTTTTGTGCAGCTCTTCAATTCTTTACTCATTTCAGTCATTAAACCACCATAAATGGCTCATCAACAAATGCCAGTAAGTTTCCTGAAGTAATCTGATATGCTCCATCTTCAGATATCATTGTGATAATTGTGTCGTTCATGAATTATTAACATAACCAGCAGGACTAAAAAGGCCTAGGTGCTCTCAGAATCAGAAATAGGCTTTCCATGAAACACAGAATAACCATAAAATAGCAATGAGTCATGTACAGTGTCACCACCCCCTCAGCATTTCTGCCATTTGTGCAGCAGGGCGCAACAACCACGGTCAGTGCTGAATAAAGGTTACCTTTAAGTGCACATTACCTTGCACTTCACTAAAAGTGTAGAAAAATGTCCTCACCTAAACAATGGAAGAGAGAAAGGTTTCTTTAACGATTCGTTTCTTCACAGGAAATGAACAGATAAAAAAAGAAGCAGGCCAGACACTAATTAAATACATATGCAATGTACAGCCTGAAGTGAATTACATGACGTGAAACTAGGCCTGGGCGATAAAACATTATCGATATTTATCGACGTACACCTATAACGATATAAAAATGTTCGATATAGTGCACGATATAGGCATGTGCTATGAGTGACGCAGACAGCACACACAAACACGAACACATGCTGAATTGTGTGCTGTGCCTGCCTGTGATGAGGAGATTGTGAATAAAAAAAATTAATATTAGTCGAATTTAAAATAAGTATTTGCATTTGAATGTTAGGAGTGTGTCAGGGAGCGTCATCAGTGGCGCGCGAGATGCGGTGATG